GACCCGGGATTAGAGAGGGCCCCTTTTGACCCTTACTAACGCGATGAAACCCGGAAAATTTCATTCGACCGGCCCTACGATGGGTGTTGGGCGGTTTTATCCACTCGGCCAGCGGTGGGCCGATAAAACTCGATCGTACCAAATCTAGATTCTAATTTACACGTACAGTACAACGTGATTTAACAGAATAATTATTTACTTAAAAATGTATAAATTTATTAAAAAATTTAGAGATTTATTTGAATATTATATATATTTTTTTCAAATTTCTTATTAACGTAACAATAGAACGCTCTTAATTATAAGGCGAAAGAATTAGAGCATTACAACGAGTAAAAATGTTTAATTAACTCTATTACAGAAATTTAACGAAGATAAATTTATTTTAAAAAATAATATTCAATACTGTAATTATTTATTTTAGAATAATTTCGATTACGTTTATCGGTTAGTTAACCGAAGCGATATTTAATTTTGCATCCAATTTTAGAATATGAAATGAGATATTTGAACTTAGATAAGGCTAGATCAATTACTGTATTAATAAAAGAATTTAAACAATATACGAGCGTTAAATACGAGTTTATTTAAATTAAATTGTACAGGGGGTCCCAAAAGTCTCCGTACCTCGACGCCGATCAAGCCCACCGGTGACCGAATAAATAAAACCATCGAACGCTGGTAGTCGGTGGTTGATTCGTGCCGGACCAAAGGACTGGTCAACACGCAGTGTTCTGGGGTTTCTTCGCGCGTCCAACACCTAATCAGAATTCAGTTTCCACATAGCAAGTCCCGCTAGAAGTAACCCCGTCGGCAGATGTTCCATCGCCTTACCCCGTCAATCCACTGACACAAATCTTAATGCTGACATTTTAATGTTTTGCGAATAAAGTTACATTTCGCCTTTGTACGAAAACTTTTGGGACATCCTGCATATATTAAAATATCAGCTAAGACGAATAATCTCGATCACGTAATAGCGATTAAGATTCCATTACATGTTAATTACCGTAATTGGTAAGAAGAAAAAATTTTAAATACACTCAAATCTCGGTTTACCGTCACCGAAATTGTCACTAAAACGAATATGGCCCTAAACGAAAAGCCACGAACAATAGAAGTCGTACGTAGCAATGAGATCTACAAATAAGTACCAGTAGGGTTTCTCATTTCCCGGGAAATTTGCCTCCAGCGGGATTACGGGAAAAATAATTTCTTTTCCCGGGATGAGATAGTAAAATAGAATTTTATATGAATAAAAAATCTCATACAGGAATATCATAAATTTGAATAATTTAATTTATTTTCTAGTAAGTAACTAAAAGTGTAGGGCCAATCTCACCCATACAGACACGTTTATATGTTCTCCTACATTATAAGATGAAAGTAAAATAAAGCGTTTCATTGGGAGTTTTAATGATTACGAAAAAAAATACTATTTTATTTCTAAAGATGAAATAAAAAATAAACTTCTATAATAATATAAAACCATGCTTCCTGAATGTGCGTGTTATTTTTAGTGAGATGGTGCTCAGGTACGGTATTAGAGGGTTTATTATCTTTAGGCTTTCTTTGTTGCAGAGGAAAGATTTTGGAAATAATTTGTTTATGACCAGGTTATAGAGATATCGATATTTGGAGTTAGAATATCCGGCATTGTGCATTGCTCTTTTGATAGTTTGTAATTCTTCATCAATTAATGTCTGGGAGGATGGAATGAGGAGCGCTCTCTGAATAAGCGAAGTAATAGCGGAGTTA